TTTTTAAGTTTTTTTAAAATGTGATCTTAACTCAGAAAAGCAAAATTTGGGGCGAGAGTGCAACTTGTGGGATCTTAATTCCCCTACCAGGGATGGAACCTGTGCCTTCAGCAGTGAACGTGCAGAGTCCTAACCACTGGACTGCCAGGGGAATCCCTGGAGAAGCAGAATTCAATGCATGCTTTCTTTTTCTTCAGGTGAATCTCTGTTTTGACCAATTTGTTTATAAGCTGGCAGACCAGATATTTGCATATTATAAGGTTATGGCAGGAAGGTAAGTACGTGGTTAGCAATTTGGGTATAAAATCTTGGGCAATTTGATCTGACGTTTCCATTAAAATTCACTGTGCATGAGAAATTGTCCTCTCTCCTCTCCGTGCTAGTTTGCTTCTTGATAAACGGTTACGATCAGAATGCAAGAATCAGGGCGCAACCATCCATCTCCCGCCATCGAACCGCTATGAGACACTGCTCAAGCAGAGGCATGTGCAGGTGAGCCAGGCCTCTCCTGGGTGCAGGGAGATACAGAGCCGGCAGCGGAAAAGTGGGGTTTTTCCTAGAGCTTCTCAGATTTTAATGGACGTCAGTATGTATGTGGCTGTGGGAACATCCCTGTAAATAGCTGAGATTTTAAAGATGAACAGTTTCCCTTGGATAAGCTGACACGCCAGGGACGGCTGCCCGGCACAGCTCCCTGGAGGCTCGGCCCCAGCGCAGGGCCTCTCCAGGAGCCCAAAAGTCAGAACTTGAATGAAGGAGATTCAGGCACTTGTTATAGTGGTGTGCTCGGTAGCTTCAGTCGTGTCTGACTCTGCGACCCCATGGACTGCAGCTCGCCAGGCTCTTCGGTCCATAGGGTTTTCAGGCAAAAATACTGGAGTGGGTTGCCATGCCTCCTCCAGGGGATCTTCCTGACCCTGGGATCAAACCTGTGTCTCCTGCATTGCAGGCTAATTCTTTACCACTGTGGCTCAAATTCTGTGATAAAGAATCTGCTTGCAATCCAGGGATTGGGAAGATACTCTGGAGAAGGCAGTGGCACCCCACTCCAGTACTCTTGCCTGGAGAATCCCATGGACGGAGGAGCCTGGTAGGCTGCAGTCCATGGGGTCGCTACGAGTCGGACACGACTGAGCGACTTCACTTTCACTTTCATGCATTGGAGAAGGCAGTGGCAACCCACTCCAGTGTTCTTGCCTTGAGAATCCCAGGGACAGGGGAGGCTGGTGGGCTGCCGTCTGTGGGGTCGCACAGAGTCGGACACGACTGGAGCGACTTAGCAGCAGCAGCCCTTGCAGTATNTGCATAGAACTCAAAAAGTGTGCACTGAGCTGGGCCTGCCTAGGGATTTGCTGTTAGTGTCCACAGTTCCAAATCGACTTCAGAGGACACATAGTTACATCTCACTTTTGCATAAGATATGGTAAAAGAGTAAAAGGTGAGAAGTTTTAAATTAAAAAGAAATGAAGACAGACAAAAAGGATTTGAGAGAAAATTGTGTAGAAGATGAGATAGTGAAGATTCAACATTACGTGTCATAGAGGCCCCTGAAGACAAAAACCAAACAATGAGATGGAACAAACATTAAAAATGCTATTTCAAGAAAACTTTGATGAAAAACACAGTATAAATACTTACTAGAAGCAAATATCACATACCAGGGAAAACAGACCTAAAGTGGCCAACACCAAGGAACATTGTAGTGAACATTGTACTATTGAACTTTTGAAGAAAAGGAAAAGTCCTGTGGATATCTGAGCAGAGTGATCAGGGAAAGAAAAATCCAGTTGTCCTCAGACCTGAGCTGGCAGAAAAGGAGGTGCAATTTAAGAATCTTTTTGCCAAATCTGTCAGGATTAATGACAGATTAGGCATAATGGTTAGGAATGATGGCTGCAGGCACATGCTAATGAATTTGTGATAACTTCAGGAAAACTCTTTGTCCTTAGAAATCAGTGGTGGGTGGGGATTGTCTCCTGGGCCCACCTCTGAGCCGAGCATCGCCACAGTAATGAGCATGCTTCCCCATCCTTCCTCAGGATCCAGGCTGAAGTGGCCTTCCCTTCAGCATGGCTTGGACCTGGTCACAGTGTTTTCATGTCCTTGGTCTTTCATGACTTAGTGGAGTCTTCGACCAGTATAAACAGAATGCAAGTCACAGAGACCATTTTAAATTTACTTGTAGTCACATTAGAAAATGAGAAAGAAATAGGGGGAATTAATTTTAATAATCTATTTTATTTAATGCAATATAGCCAAAAATCAACATTTTAACATATAATTGTTATAAGAATTTTATTGGCGTGGATATTTTCTGTTCCTTGTGTTCATATTTGGTTTCTGAAATCTGTCTGTATCTCACACATAATGGCACAGCACGGTTCAGGCCACCACGTACGTCCTCGTGGCCGTATGTGGTCAGTGGCTGCCAACGTGGATGGCACAGCCCTGGGTGGGTTCACGAGGGGCCATGTGAGAGCCCGGAAGGCTGTCTGCGCGCTGCCCACAGTTCCGCGCAGCTTTGCATTACCTCGGGTGTTTCAGGAAGGCCGACTGAGGCTGACCCCCGAGGACACAGTCTGTCATCAGTGCGGGGGACACGTGTTTGTGTTCTCTGCCCCGTGGAGGGTCTGGAGGATAGCATCGGACAGTGGGGCATCACTGCCGTTTTAAGAGCCCTGGAGAGGGCGTGATGAACTTAGGTGTGAGAAGTGGGCTCGCATCACTTGTCAGACCCCCGGCATGTGGGCTCTTGGCCTAGCACACTGACCCAGCCACGTGCTGTCGTGCTCCGCCCACCTCCAGCCCACCACGGCCCTGCCCATGCGGAGGGTGGAGGCCACCATGCCACACCCAACTTTGCTCTCCCGTGCCTGACTTTGTGGTCCTGTAGGAGCTGGATGGCCTCTTAGAAATCAACCGCATGACCCACAAGCTGCTGAGCAAGTACCTGACTCTGGACAGCTTTGATGCCATGTTCCGGGAGGCCAACCACAACGTGTCTGCACCTTACGGGAGAATCACCCTCCATGTCTTCTGGGAGCTCAACTATGACTTCCTGCCCAACTACTGCTACAACGGCTCCACCAACCGGTAAGCGTGGCGCCTCACAGGCAGCTCCGGGTGCCCCGTCGTTGGGCAGCGAGAGAGGGTGGTCTCCGGGCCCATCTTTCCCCGTGTCCAGGATACGCAGGCCCTTGGGATCGCCTCTGTTTGCAGGTGCGGCCCAGGGCCAGCCCTGGGTTCTGTGGTCGTGGCTCTCATGTGCAGAACACACGTGGGGCCAGCGTTCCTATCATGGGCACTCCCGTGGGGCCCAGGGTCAAGTCTGTGGTACACGTGGGCAGCAGCTGCTGGATCGGCACCGCCTCCATGCTTTTACGTCTCCCGATGCTGGGATGTGCTGGGCGACTCTGCACTTGTCATGCTTCCATGCTGGGATGCTGGAGCCTCCCTCCGCCCATCTACCGTTTCACCACTGTGCTGAACGCACGGAGCGGCCTGCTGGGCGGCTGCGTGGCTGCTGGCTGCAGGGTCACGTGGTGCTGGCTGCTGGCTGCTGGGAAGGCCCTGTGTCACTTCCGGCTCTGTGCAGAGCCTCATTCCTGCTGTGTCAGCACATGCCAGGGGCTCATGGGATCGTGTGTGTGTATGTGAAACAGAAAACGTGGGTGGGTGTGAGAAATGGGAGTGAGGGCCAATGAGGGTGTGTGTGAGACTGTGTGTGTTTGAGCGTGATGACCACCTTTTTAAAGCAAATGTCTTTTGCTTTTACTTTGCTTCCCTATTGCATCTGAACATCCCATCCTTTTAAGTGTCAGCTGAATCACTACTGACTTTTAGTCCTAGATTTTTGTGTCTTAATCCGGGATGCAGAGGTTCAACCCCAAGGGCAGAAGGGAGGCCCTCCTTCGGCGTGACCATACCTGCTGTTGCCATTGTCTGTTTGGGACACCAGGCTTGTTTCCTTGTGGGAATACAGGCCTCTTGCTGGTACATGGAGGTGTGCCATTGGGGCCGTCGTCTCAACCCCATGTAGCGCCGGGGGCATGTGGCCATGGCCGTGGGAGCCACTGGTGAAGGAGCCCTGGTTGGCCTCCTTGGTTCAGGGGCCCTATGCCCAGCTGGGTATAATGCACTGAAACCAAACTTAAGGTTTTTTTAGGGTTGGAATTAACTAGAAAAATATTTTTATTACACAAGTAATGCATCATAATTATAGAAAAGCTAGAAGTCATGTTTGTGTTTGTGTGTGTATATATGGAATATTACGGGGAAAATAATTAAATGCCTAGAAATTTCCCTTGTAAAATGTCTGTCTTTCAGAATTTTTGCCATACAGGCAAATATACATGTGTACTTTTTATTTTGCAGAAATGGAGGCATACTGCTAAATTCACATTGTTTTTTTCACGTCATATGTCACAGTGAGGGGTATTCTGTGTTAGTGAGGGTGCATATATGCTTATTGTGCATTTGAAAATCTAATTCATGGCCATTTGTAAGATTTTCTTTGCTTTGGTTGACCCATTTGGAACTTTGGGAATTAGTTTCTGTTATGTCTGTTAACAGGCTTCCCTGGTAGCTCAACTGGTAAAGAATCTGCCTGCCCCTGGAGAAGGGATAGGCTACCCGCTCCAGCATTCTTGGGCTTCCCTGGTGGCTCAGCTGGTAAAGAATCTGCCTGCAATGCAGGAGACCTGGGTTTGATCCCTAGGTTGGGAAGATCCCCTGAAGAAGGGAACAGCTCCCTACTCCTGTATTCTGGCCTGGAGAATTCCACGGATAGTCCATAGAGTCGCAAAGAGTTGGACACGACTGAGCAACTTTCACTTTCACTATGTCCCTTAAATTATTTTGCCTAGTGCTTAGAGTTGGCATCTTCAAAGGTGAAATGCAACAGAACCCTGTTATAGACAAACTGAGAAAATATGTTACAGTGGGGGCAGGGGTGGGAGGGTTAGACTCAGGCAACATAAGGGGTTCTAATGTTTTTCTTTATTTTAGATTGCATTTTTGACCATCTAGCATTTTGTCGCCCTTTAAAGAATTCCCAGAGATCTTGTAAAAGGGACAATTGAAGATGTTTCCCGGACCCCCTTTGTGCCCCCTGCATTGCACGTGTACAGCAGGGGCCTGTTCTGGTCATCTTAGTGACGGCCCAGTGGGTGAGGGCTCAGAGACAACAGCAGCTGTGCGGAAGGGTCGCGGGGGTGGGGGCGGGTCAGGCAGGTGAAACTGACATGATGATGGAAATTCATGTAAACCCTGCTGTTGAGTCACTGTGTTGTCTGAAAACCCTCCAGGAATGATGAGTGGTTAGTGTGAAGTTAGGAAAAGAGATCTACGCTGAGGCCTTGCTTGCCAAGCTGGGTTCACACGGGTACCCTCGCCTGATGGAAGCTGATTCTGGGGAACAAACCGCCATCCAGGCCACCTGTCCTAGTCGCAGCAGGAGTCTTGTTACGAGAGACAAGGTTGCCAGGACTCAGGTCAGGAAGTGGTGCCCCTGGCCTTAGCAGGAGCGGGGCCACCCCTAGGCTGTTACTCTCGCCGCCTGGTCGAGCTGTGGGTCCGTGGAGGACACTGCAGCGCAGGGTGTGTGAACTGCCGTGAGGCCCCTCTGCCCTCAGTCCCTGGAGCCCGTCCCATGTGAGAGCTCCAGTGGAGGCTGCCTTCACCTGCTGGTGTGTGTTCCTGCCTCCCAGGAGGTGCTGATAAGTGGCTCTGCCCCAGGCTCCTGAAGCCTGTGCCACCTTCAGCAGGCTTGGTGATCGCAAGGAAATACAGTTTCACATGCATAGGAGCTGCAGTCTGGCAGGGACCGACATAAAGTGACATCAGCCTTCTTGGGCCCAGAAAACTGTGTGCAGTTCAGAGAAACCATCTTCACCAGGGCAGCTCTGCTTGCCTTCACCTTTCTTAGCGTTGGCAAAGCCAATTACTTCTGTACTTTTAACAGACTTCTAGTAGATCCCCTAGAGCTTCATTATCTGGAAAAGACAGTAAAAAATAGGATTTTATAGCTCCACCTTGCATGTGGAAACCTGAGAAGACAGATAAAACTATGCCATCCAGTATCTTAATTCCACACTGAGGGTTTTCCGAGAGCTGCTTGCAGGAAATCCACACTCCATTTGTTTCTTGTTATAGCTCCTTGTTTTGCTGCTTATTTCTGCTTAATAATTTATGCCTGGTGACTCTGGGAGATCACATGGGGTGACATGTGACTTAAATTTAACCTGTATAGCTACTGATTTTGACAGTGTGATAGCCCTCAAAGCCAGCCAGCCTTTGGGAAGAGTCTGCCTGTTTGGCAGCAAGACTGCTGAGGAGCGCGCGTCCAGTGTACAGTGTACCACAGGGTGTCCCTTCACTGGCCGTCGTAACATCTCTCCCCTGGTTAGCATGCTGCTTATGCTAAGTTGCTTCACTTTTGTCCGACTCTGTGACCCCGTGGACTGTAGCCTGCCAGGCTCCTCTGTCCATGGGATTCTCCAGGCAAGAATCTGGAGTGGGTTGCCATACCCTTCTCCAGGGGATCTTCCCTGGTTAGGTTGCTGGCTGCCAAATTTCTCTGCTGACATGTTTCCATTTTTCTGTTTGAAATTTGTAAGTAATGTTTAAGGAGATAATCTAAAACTTTCAAAATGATTCCTTGTTAAAACTTGACCCGCTAATCTGAACATCTGTTGATGACTTATACCCAAGTCAGTTATCCCTGTGGTGTTTGAACAGTGGTGATTTTCTAACCTTGTCATTCCATCTACAGTTATTCATTGGCATTCTGCTGTACGTGTTAGCATTTTTCATTTATCATTAGTAGGGATGTGGGGACTTTAACACAGGGTTATAATCTGTTACTGCCATGACTTGGCTTTCGTTTTTGTGGCTCAAATCTGTCTTGTTTTGGCTCCTGGGGGCCCCTTCTGCCCCTTTTCTCTGTCTTCTTGCTGTCCCATGATCCTTAAGCCTCCTCCTACTGTGTAACACAGGAAGTCCCAGGTTCATCCTAGAATTCTCCTTCTTTGCTCTTGTAATCTGTGAGTCAGTGATGCCTTTTAATGGAGAGTATTTTAAAATAAGCCAAGTCTGAGTGTTAGGTGTACTCACTGCGGCTGGTGGGTCCTTGCTCTCTCCTCTTTTCAGTGGTCAGAGCTGGGAAGGACTTGCACCTGTGCTGTACCAGGTTTCTGGGGCTGCCAGAACAAGTTGTCACAAACTGGGGGGCTTAAAACAACAGAACGTTATTCTCTCACAGTTCTGGATGCAAAAAGTCCGAAATCAAGGTGTCAGCAGGGCTCTGCTCCCTCTGAGGCCGGTCGGGGTCTTCTCGTGGTCTCTGCTGTTTCTGGTGTGGCCAGCCGGCCCTGGCTGCAGCTGCACAGCTCCCATCTCCGTCTTTGTTGGCCTGTGGCATTTTCCTCACGTGCCTCTCTCCTCTTCTCTGAGGAAATGAGTCATGTTACGTTGAATTAAGGGCTCACTCTGCTCCAGCATGATTTCATCTTAATTAATTACATCTGCAACAACTGTGTTTCAGAATAAGAGCACATTCTGAGGTACTAGTAATCAGACTTCAAGTTATCTTTTGGAGGGACACAAACCCATAATGTGTACATGTGTGTCTACTTGTATGCACGCTTCCCAGGTGGTGCTAGTGGTTAAGGAACCTGCCTGCTGATGCAAGGGATAATAAGAGACACAGGTTCAGTCCTTTGGTTGGGAAGGTCCCCTGGAGGTGAGCATGGCAACCCGCTCCAATATTCTATGCCTGGAGAATCCCATGGAGAGAGGAGCCTGGCAGGCTACAGTCCATAGGGTCACAAAGACTCAGACATGACTGAAGAGACTCAGCACGCACGCATACTACTTGTTTGGCTTCCCTTGTGGCTCAGCTGGTAAAGAATCTGCCTGCAATGTGGGAGACCTGGGTTTGATCCCTGGGTTGGGAAGATCCCCTAGAGAAGGGAAAGGCTGCCCACTTCTGTATTCTGGCCTGGAGAATTCCATGGACTATATAGTCCATGGGGTTGAAAAGAGTCGGACACAACTGAATGACTTTCAGTTAAGTCACATGCTACTTGTACCCAGCTCTCTCTGTATTGAAACCATGAATTTACACAACTTTGTCTTAGATTCCAGGTCAGTGACACAGGCTTCATTTCCATTTTTTAACTTCCTTCTGTGCTGAGAATTCTTATTTTGTCATTCTTTTTTTTTTTAATTTTGTCATTCTTAATGTATTTATTCATTTGCTGAATTCCAGGACATGAAGAAAGTAGTTTCAGAATTACTTAACCTTCTGACTGTGAAGCACAAACCTATTAACTAGAATTCAGTGCTTGTTTCCATTTTTTTGTCTTTAGATTGAGAAATGCGTTTAGTCAAAATGTGGTGTTTAAAAGTTATTTGAAATAATGGAGTAACAGCGTTTGAATTTACTCTTTCACTTAAACAAGTGGAAAACTGGACAGCATTTATGAAACAACTGTTTTCATCGGATGTTTCCTGGAGGGAAAAGAAATGAAGGATGGAGCTGTGTGGCTCCTTGGCTTCCTACCTGAAAGCACTTTGGAGGTCTTGCTTGGTGATGGAGACAAAGAAGCTGAGATGGCTGGATGTGCACGGCAGAATATGGGAGAGGAAAGAGATATCAGAAGAAGAGCTCCTGACACCAACTTAGGAGCCCTTTGTGTCTTAATCACTCAGTCATGTCTTGACTCTTTGCAATCCCACGGACTGTAGCCTCCCAGAATCCTCTGTCCATGGGGATTCACCAGGCAAGAATACTGGAATGGGTTACCGTTTCCTTCTCTAGGGGATCTTCCCGACCCAGGGATCGAACCCGGATGTCCTGCATTACAGGCAGATTCTTTATCATCTGAGCCACCAGGAAGCCCAGTCTTTGCTTAAATATGTATTTTGTGTTGTGTGTGTGTGTGTGTTGGTTTCTTGGTTTTTTGATAGTTTTATTTTTGGCTGTACCCACAGCATTCAGGATCTTGGTTCCCTGACCACCTATGTAAGCTGTGTCTGCTGCAGCGGTAGCGCAGAGTGTTAACCACTGGACCGCCGGGGAAGTCCCCATTCTTGAATATGAAACTGTGTGAGCTGAGTGGAACGCCACAAGCCTGGTGGAAGAACGGCTGCCAGGGAACTGTAGGTGGACTTGTTCCCAGAGCTCACCAGGACTAGGCGTCACTGAGGCTGCCTGTGAGAGTGGGGAGAGCTGCCTGCATACCCAGGCATGCGACAGAGTTGCCGGCAGGGCCTGTCTTAGTGCCAGCACTGGGGTAGTGGCTACTTTGTGTGCTGGGCTTAGTCAGTCATGTCCGACTCTGTGACCCTGTGGACTCGAGCCCACCAGGCTCCTCTGTCCATGGGGATTCTCCAGGCAAGAATACTGGAGTAGGCAGCCATGCCCTCCTCCAGAGGATCTTCTCAACCCAGGTCTCCCACATTTCCGGTGGATTTTTTTTTTTTTTTAATATTTATTTATTTATTTGACTGCACCAGGTCTTAGTTGAAGCATGTGGGATCTAATTCCCTCACCAGGGATTGAACTTGGGGCCCCTGAATTGGGAGCCTGGAGTCTTAGCCACTGGACCACCAGGGAAATCCCTCAGGTGGATTTTTTACCATCTGAGCCACCAGGAAAGCCCAAGAATACTGGAGTGGGTAGTCTATCCCTTCTCCAGGGGATCTTCCTGACCCAGGAATCAAACTGGGGTCTCGTGAGTTGTTGCTGCTGCTGCTGCTGAGTCGCTTCAGTCGTGTCCGACTCTGTGACCCCATAGACAGCAGCCCACCAGGCTCCTCTGTCCCTGGGGTTCTCCAGGCAAGAACACTGGAGTGGGTTGCCGTTTCCTTCTCCAGTGCATGAAAGTGAAAAGTGAAAGTGAAGTCGCTCAGTCGTGCCTGACTCTCTGCTTCCCCATGGACCGCAGCCTCCCAGGCTCCTCTAACCATGGGATTTTCCAGGCGAGAGTACTGGAGTGGGTGCCATTGCCGTCTCCGCTCCTGAATTGGCAGGCAGATTCTTTACCAGCTGAGCTACCCGGCAAGTCCAGTGGCTACTTTACACCCTAACAGACCAGTTGACTTGCAAGCAGTTTAACCATCTGCCCCCCAAAATTGAGCATTCTTTAAAAGTTAAAGACAAAATCCAGCCACTCAACACCGTGATGTTTCCACGTCAATGTGCTCAGAGCCACAGGCTGCTCCTCCTCTTGGTTGCAAATGTTTGTTTCATGAGCTGTTAAGTGTTTTGACAGTTACACTCTTTTTTATTTATTAAAGTGTGATATATGTTCATCAAGTTCTTAGAATTTAATAATTAACAAATCCATGACTTTTTAAAAAATTTATATTTTAGTTGAAGGATAATTACTTTACAGAATTTGTTTTCTGTCAAACCTCAACATGAATCAGCCATAGGTATACATATATCCCCTCCCTTTTGAACCTCCCTCCCATCTCCCTCCCGGTCCCACCCCTTTAGGTTGATACAGAACCCTCTTTGAGTTTCCTGAGACCTACAGCAAATTTTACATGTTTCCATGAAACAAAGTAACAAAGTTTCCATGTTACTCTTTCCATACATCTCACCCTCCCCTCCCCTCTCCCCATGTCCATAAGTCTGTTCTCTATGTCTGTTTCTCCATTGCTGCCCTGAAATAAATTCTTCAGTATCATTTTTCTAGATTCCATATATATATGTTAGTATACAATATTTATCTTTCTCTTTCTGACTTACTCACTCTGTATTAATAGGCTCTAGGTTCATCCACCTCATCAGAACTGACTCAAACATTCCTTTTTATGGCTAACATTCCATTGTGTATATGTACCACAACTTCTTTATCCATTCATCTGTTGATGGACATCTAGGACATCTGCTTCCATGTTCTAGCTATTGTAAATAGTGCTGCAGTGAACTATGGGATACATGTGTCTTTTTCAGTTTTGGTTTCCTTAGGGTATATGCCTAGGAGTGGGATTGCTGGGTCATATGGTCGTTTTATTCCTAGTTTTTCAAGAAATCTCCATACCGTCTTCCATAGTGGCTGTGTCAATTTACATTCCCACCAACAGTGCAAGAGCATTCCCTTTTCTCCACACCCTCTCCAGCACTTATTGTTTGCAGACTTTTTGATGATGGCCATTCTGACCAGTGTGAAGTCATTGTAGTTTTGATTTTCATTTCTCTAGTAATGAGCGATGTTGAGCATCTTTCATGTGTATGTTAGCCATCTGTATGTCTTCTTTGGAGAAATGTCTGTTTAGGTCTTTTTCTCACTTTTTGATTGGGTTGCTTGTTTTTCTGGTATTGAGTTGTATGAGCTGCTTGTATATTTTGGAAGTTAATCCTTTGTCAATTGTTTCATTTGCTTTTATTTTCTCCCATTCTGAGGGTTGTCTTTTCACCTTGCTTATAGTTTCCTTTGCTGTGCAAAAGCTTTTAAGTTTAATCAGGTCCCACTTATTTACTTTTGTTTTTATTTCCATTACTCTAGGAGATGGGTCATAGAGGATCTTGCTTTGATTTATGTCATCGAGTGTTCTGCCTGTTTTCCTCTTAGAGTTTTATAGTTTCTGGTCTTTAATCCATTTTGAGTTTATCTTTGTGTATGGTGTTAGGAAGTGTTCTCATTTCATTCTTTTACATGTAGCTGTCCAGTTTTCCCAGCACCATTTATTGAAGAGGCTATCTTTGCCCCATTGTATATTCTTGCCTCCTTTGTCAAAAATAAGATATCCATAGGTGCATGGGTTTATTTCTGGGCTTTCCATCTTGTTCCATTGGTCTATATTTCTGTTTTTGTGCCAGTACCATACTGTCTTGATGACTATAGTTTTTTAGCGTCTATGACTTGTTTTTTATCATGCTTCTTTGTGAGAGTTTAGTATGTTTAAATGAACCCTTCTGATGAAACTCAGTCAATTTTTATATTTCTGCTTTAAGATCCAACTGTTTCATTTTCAGTGGCTCCTAACCCATCATGAAGGCAGTCTCTTGGCTCTGCAGGTGTATTTTTGGACTCATCTTCTATTAGTTTGTATCTAGTGACCTAAGTGACCACCTCACTACCCAAACCTGCCTTCCTACTCCTGTCCCCTGGCATCATTGTTGTGTCCACAGGCCCCTTTTCAGAAGACTGAATTAGGCTTGAGATGGTTCTGGTGCCAACTCTGGAGACTCTCTTTATGTTCTAGAAGGGCCCTGGTGTTCTCACTCTGTTTCTTTGAACTTTGAATACATTTATCAAACTTCAGAGTACTGATAGCTCATTCCTAATATGGGTTTTGATTTCCTATGCAATTATTGATTGGGAGGAATATTTAATTGGTGAGTAATAGAAAAGTTCTCAATTTTAAAGAAGTACCATTCAATTTTTGATTTTTTTTTTATTTTTTAAAATCTTGTTTAGATTTGTTCGTACAGTATTACCATTTTCTCAAGAATTTCAGAGAGATAAACAGCCAAATGCACAACCTCAGTATTTGCATGGATCAAAGGTAAGTTCTTTTGTGTTTATATTATATTATGATTTTTAAGTTCACAGTGAGGTGTATTTTGAAGTTTAGTTTGAATCAGTTTAATTGCAATAATTTAAATATATCATGCCACATAGGGCTTTCCAGGTGGCTCAGTAGTAAAGAATCCACCTGCCAATGCAGGAGATTCGGGTTCGATCTCTTGGTTGGGAAGATCCTCTGGAGGAAAAAATGGCAACCCACTCCAGTATTCCCACGTGGAGAATCCCATGGACAGAGAAGCCTGGCAGGCTACAGTCCATAGGGTCGCAAAGACATGACTGAGTGACTAAGTACACACACATCATGCCACGTACGAAACATGATTGTGTCCTCCTGTTAGCACCTTTCTAAATTGTAATGTAGTGCTGCCTTATGTGTGGCTGTAGGAATACACAGAATCCTAGGGGGCCGTCTGTATTCACCAGCATTTAAATGTTCTCAGTTGTAGGAAGTCAGACTCCTAAGGAAATAAGTCAGACAAGCACAAAGTGAAGTGTGTTACAGGGCCAATAACACATCACTGTCACAAAAAGCATGGCAGCAGATTAACTGACCACAGCACCTGCCTCACAGGTTCGGGGCTGGGGGTTAGAGACGAAAGCCCCTGATCAGTACTGCTGCCGAGCAGCTGGGCAGGTAGGACAGGTGACGGGTGGGGTGGAGCATGAGGCCCCAGGACTCTGGCCCTTCCCCACACCCAGGTGGCGCCCACGTTCTGGGACTACACAGGAACGTGTTGTCATGGTGTCCGAGCTGCCCGTGTGGTGACACTGGGTGCCCAGCCCACCCTTTAGATTGGGTCTGTAGAGACCAGGATATAGGTTGGGACCCTCCTTAGAATGTGAGCCTTTCATTTCCGTCCTCTCACTGCAGGTGTAGCTGGAACTCAGATGTGCAGCAGTGTTTGCACCTTGGAATGGGTAGATAATACAGTTTGGGCTCATAAGTGGGTTCAGCCTTCCTCCTCTACCACTTGGTAAGGGCATGAAATGGATAACTTTAAAAGGACTAGAATAAGTGCTCTAATGCACCTCCTTTTGGAATTAAAATACAGCGTTTAACCCCCTTGGAACTAAAAGAAGTTTTATGTAATTTTAGAAGACAGAACTAGAAACTTTGGTGAATAAGATAGAAATTTCTGGAGAAGGAAGTGGCAGCCCATTCCAGTATTCTTGCCTGAGAAATCCCACGGACAGAGGAACCTGGTGGGCCATAGTCCATGGGGGTCACCAAAGAGTCAGACACGACTTAGTGACTAAACAACAAAACCGTGCTCGTGTTTTGCACTCCCTCCCAAGCTTGGAAACCAGTCCACGGCCACCCCTTGCTGACGAGAGTATATTAGCTGCCAGAAACGGAACCAGGAACAACAGGTTGATTATCTTTAGTGCCAGTGAGCTGAACTCCCAAGGTTCACATAGATTCAGGATGGTGTCATCGTCCTTGGGTAGTGAAGTGACACCGCCTTGCTTTGTTTGGGACCAGCTCAGGATAAAGAAGAAGCTAGCATACCTGTGTGAGACAGCTCTGCGGTGGTGCTCTCAGACTTTAACGTGCTCTCCGTGTGAGTCCCCGAGACTGCAGGACAGCAAACCAGTCAGTCCAGAAGGAAGTCAGCCCTTAGTGTTCATTGGAAGGACTGATGCTGAAGCTGAAGCTCCAATACTTTGGCCACCTGATGTGAAGAGCCAACTCATTGGAAAAGCCCCTGAGGCTAGGAAAGATTGAAGGCAGGGGGAGAAGGGGGCGACAGAGGATGAGATGGTTAGAGAGCATCACCAACTCAGTGGATATAAATTTGAGCAAACTCTAGGAGATAGTGGAGGACAGAGGAGCCTGGTGTGCTGCAGTCCATGAGGTCACAAACAGTTGGATGCAGCATAGCAACAACAATGTGATTCTGACAGAATTCTAGCATCACCGGCTTAATGGACATGAATTTGTGCAAATTTCAGGAGATACTAGAGGGCTGGTGGGTTACAGTCAGTCCATAGGGTTGCAGAGAGTCAGAAGTGATTTCATGACTGAAGAACAACAACAATGGTGAGCAGAAGACAAGAATCAGGCTTCTTAGAAGAGGTATCACAAAGGTGTTCTTGCTTGAGTAGATTTTTTTCAAAGTGGCAAGTGACAGATCCAGCTTCTTTGCCAAATTGGTCCACTGTCATCTTCAACACTTGCCTCCCAAGGAGTGTTCCCTGTACATAAACACTAACTGTACAGTTTGGGTATATTGAAGGAGATGGGGTGGGGAGAATATGCAATATGCAGGATGAGAAACAAAACAGACCTGTACCATAATAATAAGAAGTAACACACAGGAAATTAGTTTGGCAGCTGTCTCATGCATTTCAAGTAGAACACAACTTCCTAACTATAATTTTCCACTTGCTAGTATAATGAAAACAATACTTCAGGAGAGTAAGTTTACTGTACATCATCACTGGTAAAATTAACAGGGCTTTTACTTTAAAGATTGTCAAGAATAGGGAATGTATTTATTTTTTAATTTGCTTTTACTGTAGCCAGAAAGTATTTGAGTATCCCTCTTCTGGGACAGTGCACGGCTATCAGAAACACATTCTGTGTGATGCAAAGCAGATAGAACACATGTCATTGTCACAAAACCCTTGTTTTCTTTGATGGGATATTTATTATTGTCATTTACTCCATGAGGATGACTGCTTCTGGAATCCACATTGGAACAGAGCAGAGGGAAAGTTCTGGGACTTCCCTGGTGGCCCAGTGGTTAAGGCTGCGCTTCCCCTGCAGAGAGCACTGGTTCAGTCCCTGATCAGGGAATGAAGATCCTACATGCCAGGTGTTGCAGCCAAGAAAGAAAAGAAAAATGAAGGTTCTGCCACCAATCTCTGGTGCTCCAGGAAAAGCCAGCCTCCAGGAACGGAGCCAGGAAAGGCCTGATTGTACATGTCCATGGGTTTCCAGCTTTCCACTCATATAAGAAACAAGGTGTGATATCCCAGTTTCCCTTTTTGTTCAGATGTAGTCACTCTAGAATAGGTTCTTTTGAGAGGCAGTGAGATTCTAGATGTTCTTGGCTCAGAATGCAGAGTTATTGCTCAGGAGAAAAGGGAAACACCTAGAATAGCCTCCATAAGCCTTGAGGATGGAATGATCCCCCGGGAGTTGAAGACTGATGAGAGGTTTCACACTTCCTCCTTGGAAGGAAAGCTATGACAAATCTATTAAAAAGCAGAGACATCACTTTGCCGAAAAAGGTCGTATAGTTAAAGCTATGGTTTTTCCAGTAGTTATGTACAAATGTGAGTTGAACCATAAAGAAGGCTGAGTGCTGAAGTATTGATTCTTTTGAACTGTGGTGGTATAGAAGACTCTTGAGATTCCCTTGGACCGCAAAGAGATCCTAAAGGAAATCAACCCTGAATATTCATTGGAAGGACTAATGCTGAAGATGAAGGTCCAATACTTTGGCCACCTGATGTGAAGAGGCTGACTCATTGGAAAAGACCCTGATGCTTGGAAAGATTGAAGGAAAAAGGAGAGGATGAGACAGAGGCAGAGGATGAGACAGTTAGATAGCACCAGTAGACATGAATTTGAGCAAACTCTCAGAGATAGTGAAGGGCAGGGAAGCCTGGTGTGCTGTCGATGGGGTCACAAAGAGTTGGACACTACTTAGCAACTGAACAACAACAGCTCCTGAGGATATTCATTCAGAGCTGAACAACCAGCCTTGCTAGTCCAGGTCTTCAGAATCTTCTTGTCCTGATGTAGTTCTCTGTGTTTGTAGAGGAAATATTTAAGACAGTTATAAGAGGGGAAGGGGAAAGAATACAGAGACGTAAAAGGAGGAATCCTAAAACACTTCATTCAAAAGTGGTAACTTATATAACCTATAACTTACATAATGTATAATACAACATATACATTACATCCTCTGTCCGTGGAATTCTCCAAGCAGGAATACTGGATTAGGTAGCCATTCCCTTCTCCAGAGGATTTCCCGACCCAGGGATGGAACCTGGCTCTCCTGCATTGCAGGCAGATTCTTTACTGTCTGGACCACCAGGGAAACTCATAGGTTAACTCATAGGTTAACTAACGTGACACTTGGAGCATCACTGAGAGACCTGTGCAGAGAGATGCTCTCAAAAATACCACCATTACGTCACAACAGAGTTCAGAAAATGTCTTACGTGACCCACAGGAAGACAAGAAGAAAAAGCCTACTTAAAAATCAGTAATTGCATTGTTTGTAAATGTTTTATATATAAGTAGTCTAAAAGACAGTTTGAAGGCAGAGATTGTGGATTAAAAAGTATGACTGCATAAGAAACTCACTTCAAGTCAATGATATAAGTAAATTAAAAGTAAAAGGATGGAAAAAGATGTACCACGCATCAGGGGCAAAGAGGGAGGGGACATAACATAAGATAAGGTCAAGCCCCCAAGAAGATATAGCAATCCGTAATGTTTTTGCACCAAACAACAGTTTCAAAATGCTTGAAGCAAAAACTGACTAAGTGAAAGGAGAAATTAACAACTCCATAGTTGTAGTTGGGGAAGTCAACTTTCCTCTCACTTAGTAATCAAAAGAGTAAGTGTTCAGAAAATCAGCAACAAAGAAGAACAAGCACCACCAACTAGCAGGATCTCACAGACATGTGTAGAACATTTCAGCCAACAACATCAGAACACATGTTCTTTTCAAGTACCCATGGAGCATTCTCAAAATAGACCATGTCCTGGGCATTAAAACACCCTCAACAGAATTCAAAGAATTGAAATATTACAGAGTGTTATCTTCACTACAGTGACCTCAAACTTGAAATCAGTAACAGAGATGACAAGATCTCCAGACACTGAAATTAATATATTTCTAAATGACCCTGAGGGCAAGAGGAAGTCTCAAGGGAAGTAAATCAGAATTTGCAGAGTGCAGCTGAAGAAGTGCTGAGCGTGAAATACATAGCACTGAATGCTTAACATTAGGAGTTTCCCTGACGGGTGTGCAAACACCCCCAGACAAACTTGGAGGCCTTATCTCACCAGAAACTACCCTGCCTACCTTTCTTGCCTGCCCACCATGCAGGGGCTGCTGTCTCCAGCTCGCTGGTACCCACTGTCCCATCAGAACCTATTGTTGGGCGTCTCCCTCAGGGGACGGAGAGCAGTAATATGGGTGCAGCAGTGACGTTCTAAGATATATTCATTTCTCATTCCAAGACCTCAAAATATTTTCTGTAGTTTAATAAATGTTGGAAGACCAAATGGTTTTGTTTTCTTCCTTCTGTTTTAGCGAGCTTGTTTTCATATTTTCAGGTTGAAAACATAGATACCAATGAAGGCAGTCTAACAGGTTCTCTGGATCCCTGCACCCGAGGGCACTGTGTGCTAATGCGTGTAGATGTGGATTCTTCATTTTCATGTGTGCATGGGGCTAGACTGAAGGCCTGGCAGCTTCATGAAGCACTAATGTTCTCTGCCCCCAGGCTTTAAACCTGGCCTATTCGAGCATCTACGGCAGCTACCGGAACTTCGTGGGACCCCCGCACTTCCAGGTCATTTGCCGGCTGCTTGGCTACCAGGGCATTGCAGTGGTCATGGAAGAGCTGCTGAAGGTGGTCAAGAGCCTGGTATGTTTTCCTCTGGTGGGCTTCCTCCCCAGGGTTGGGGCAAGGATTCTGTACCCAGTTCCTGTGTGGCCAGGGGCTGCCCACCCCCATCAAGGTTGCTTTTCTTCTGTGTGTGAGATTTCCTTTCCAGCCAAAGTGATTCTCAGTCCTGGGTCATTACCGTGCATTTTACTAACAAATTTGTTTTCAAAAGTCCCCATCACACCGACAGCCTGCAGGGTAATGTGGCTGGTGGTTGACACAGACCATCTCTCACAGCTGCAAGGCACGATCCTACAGTATGTGAAGACGCTGATGGAGGTGATGCCCAAGGTCTGCCGGCTGCCGCGACATGAGTACGGCTCCCCTGGTAAGCACAGCGTCGCTCTGGGGCGCACGGGGATGGGCAGTGTCAGCCCTAGGCCACTTAAGGGAAATCAAGTTGAAAATTACTGGTAAGGATCAGATCTGCCTTCCCCAAGTGGGAGAAGGTGGGAAGCCCAACCAGAACCTGATTGTTTCCAACAGAACAAACCAGCCTTTCAACCAGGAGCAGGTGTGCAGGGGTGGGAGAGCTGGGTTGGGGGGTGACAGTGCTGTGAGCCCTGTGCCCCTTGGCTGTCCTACAGTCAGGATCTTGCAAATCACTGATGAGGAAGGGGCAGGGAGCTCCACTCCCTGGTCCAACTGCCTGCCTGTCTTCAGCGGCCCGGCCCCAGGGGGACCCCGTGTAGGGGGCCGCTTCCCAGACCATGCCCCTTGTCTGTCTCGGTCCGGCAGCCTGCCTCTCCTGAGGGCCTGTTTCACTGACTGGCCAGCTGCAGGGCCCTCAGGCAGCTGTGGTCTTTGGGGTGCCAGAAGAACCTATGTGGCCTGACCAGAGTGGATTTGGGGCTTTCTACATGGATAAACTTCATGACCTCAGAGAGCTTTTTTTGTGATAAAATTGAACTACAAGAACCCTTGTCTCTTAACAAAGCTGCATTTTATCTCATATCTGTTAATACTTTATTGAAAGCTGGAAAACTATCTTGTTGGTCACCAAGGAGATACTGTCCTGATAGGCAGCTGACTGGTGTGGTTGAGCCCCTGGGTGTTCCTGGCACCACTCAGTGCTTTTGGTGTTTGAGGAGACAGTGAGGTGACCCATTTGGCCACTGGGAAGGGAATAACCATTGGTATGTCCTGGCTTAGAGAAATCTCAGAAAGTAGACGAGTAATGTTGGGATAATAAAATTGGTGCTCAGATCCTTATTAGAGGTGGATATTCTAAATGTCAAAGACAAAGCCATTTAGGCCAAATCCAGAGCTGGCCTGGGGGAGAGCTGCGGACTTCCGGGCTGGTTCCACGCGTCCTCACCCAGCGGGCGTGGCACCACTCTGGAGGTGGTGCCGTATTGCTGAAAGGACCCCCGCACTCAGGCTCCCGTGGGGTGGACCACCAAGAGGAAAGGATGGTCCCTCAGGCAGGCAGGGCTGTGGGGTCATTGTGGAGTGCACTCAGGGCCTGACCTGATGGGATGAGAGGTTTGAAATCTCTAAGTATCCAGCATTTTTCTGTGTTGTTTTGCCTGTTCTGGGTCTTCTGTATGACTATGAATTCTGGAGTCAGCTCGGGGATTTTGACTGTGTCAGCAGTGAATGCACAGAGTGCTTCCTAGACTTTATGGTTCGCATCTTTTGCAACCTTATGACAACATCCAGAACCTCCAGGAGAGTGGTGAAGATGTGCTGTCTTTCTCTGGAGCTCTGAGAGAAGGCATGCGGATTCACCACATGAGTATGATGTTAGCTACAGGGTTTTTGTAGATGTCCTTTATCAGATTAAATACATTCCCTTCTATGCCTGCGAAGGGATTTTGAATTTTATCAAATACCTTTTGTACCTCTGCTGGAGATGAGTGTGGTCTTACTCCTTTATTGCAACATGATGCCTCCTCTGAAGGTATACACAGAGTTCAGAGATATTGCAAATCTGGCTCCAGCCAGCTGCAAATTATCACAATAAAGCAAGCCATATGCATTTTATTTCCTGATGCATATAAAGTTATGTTTGTACTATGCTATGGTCTGTTAAGTGTGCAGTAACACAAAATATGCCTTTTAAAACATACATATCTTGGACTTCCCTGGTGGCCCAGTGGTAAAGAATCAACCTGCCGATGCAGGGGACACGGATTTGATCCCTGGTCCAGGAAGGTCCCACACGCCCTGAAACAACTAAGACAGTGTGCCACAGGCGCTGAGCCCTCACTCTGGAGCCTGTGCTCCAGAAGAAGAAGCCACCGGAAGGAGAAGCCTGCACGCTGCAATGAAGAGGACTCCCTGCTTGCCACAACTAGAGAAAGCCTGAGTGCAGCAATGAAGACCCAGCACAGCTGTAAATAAATAAATAAAACTAAATACCTTAAAACACGTCATTGCTAAAGAATGCTAACCATCATCTGAACCTTTAGCAAGTTGTGATCTTTTTGCAATAATATCAAAGATCCCAGATCACCATGACAAGTATAATAATAATGAAAAACTTTAAAATATTGTAGGAATTATCAAAATCTGATAGACATGAAGTGAACAGATGCTATGGGGAAAATGGCACCTATAGATTTGCTTGACACAGGAGTGCCACAGACTTTCAATTTGTAAAAATAATATCTGCAAAGCACAGAAGAACAAGCTGTGCCTGGATTGGGTTGACAGGCTTTGGAACTGAGGACAGGATCCAGGCGGTGGGACAGGAGACAGGGCCATCTCCTTGGTGGACAGGATGGCAGTGTCAGAGTCTCCCGTCAGCACGGGCGCTTCCGGCTGCGGACTCCAGGCTGCACACTGTCATGCTCCCGCCCATCTAGCCTCTCCCAGCCCCACATTCATTCTCTCCCACTGCAGGCATCCTGGAGTTCTTCCACCACCAGCTGAAGGACATAGTTGAGTATGCAGAGCTGAAGACGGTGTGCTTCCAGAACCTGCGGGAGGTGGGCAACGCTGTGCTCTTCTGCCTGCTCATAGAGCAGAGCCTGGTGAGTGCCAAGCGCCGCCGGGGCCCGCATCCCACCAAGCCCCTTCCGCCTCACGGATGACAGAAGAGACCATTCTTTAGATGCTTCATTTACTGGCGTTATTTAATGGGGGAAGGAGAACAAGTGTTGTAAAGTACTTTTCTTTTTTTTCATGGTTACTTAGACTTTAATTTGAATTTGTTTCCTACAGTTGAAAAACAGAAATGCAGTAGTTCATTTAAGAATGTTTTACTGTGTGAACATTGTAAGAATGTCTTATATAGTATTTACCGCATCTAAATTAACATATACGACATACACATAATATATAAAGCTGCTGCCTGGGAGAACTGTCTGTGATGGAAAATTCCATAGCTGAGGCTGTTGAGACCTCAGAGTGGGGCTCCATGTGACTGAAGAACTGAGTTTTAAATTTCATTGAATTTTAATTTTTTACATCGAAATAGGTACACATGGCCCATGCCTGCTGAGGTGGACAGCATAATAAAGCAAACATTCGGAGCCCAGCACCACCAGGAAATCATGCGTGGGGCACCCGCAGTCCCACTGCCTGCCTGCGGGGGCGCCCTTCAGCCTCCCCCTCTGTCCCTGTGGTCCCGCCAGCTGCCCGCTCTGCACTGGAGCCCTCTGGAGGCGGCCTCACTCTTCCTTTCAGTTGGCCCTGGGGAGCGGGGCGTCTTCCCTGCTGCTGGGCTCTTCACCTTCTGTTAAATGTTCCATTTGTATCCTTTGTCCATTCTACTATAACTTGTGTATCTTCTGTGCGTTTCATGCAAATGCTAATATCGTTGTGTATCGCTCAGTCGTGTCCAATCCTTTTTCGTGACCCCATGGACTATAGCCCACCAGGCTCCTCTGTCCATGGGATTTTCCAGACAAGAATACTGGAGTGGGTTGCCATTTCCTTCTCCAGGGGATCTTTTCGACCCAGGTATCAAACTTGTGTCTCCTGCATCAGCAGGCAGATTCTTTACCACTGAGCCACCATGGAAGCCCAATACCTCTCCCTGATTTTAGCTTGTCTTTTCACTCTAATAGTGGTGATGTTTGAGAAACTGATACTCCTGATTTGACTACAGTCTCTTTTCTGTGGTTCTTATATACAAGCACTTCGTCTATCTCTTCAAAGAAGTCCTTTCCTCTCTAGGAATCATAAAGACATTCTTTCATATTTTCTTCTAAAGATTTCAGGTTTTGTTTCTACATTTAAGTTTATAATCCTTCTGCAGTTGGTTTTCGTGTGTAAGGTGAGATGTAGGTGAAGATTCTTTTTTCCTCATGGGGCCACCAGTTGTCACTTCTCCAGCGACTGAAGGAAGACTCCTTTCCTTGTTGGTCAGCAGTGTCCCTCTGTCATCCTTCAGCTTTCTGTGGCTGTGCCAGTCTGTCTCTTGGTTTTCTTCCTCCTCCTACGTGTCTATGTCTGTCCATGGCTTCTAACGTGCTGTCTCACTCATGGTAGCTCTAACTAAAGTGTTAACCCCTGGTAGGACATGCCCCTTACCTTATTCTTCTTCAAGCACATGCTTCCTCTTTGTGGATCTTCACTCTGCTCTGAAAGTGTGAGAATCAGCTTGGGCCAAATACCCTGAAAAAGCACACTTACATTTCAGTGGGAATTGTGTTACATTTCTAGCTCTATCTGGGGAGATCTTTGCTCTGGTACTTCTTAAAGCAGTCTCTTCTCTCTCTGGAGCCTTGGCACCTTGGCAGAGGCAAGGTGTGTTGTGCAGTGACCTGGGCCAAGGTGTTCCATATACTGTGCAGGGTGTGGCAGTCAGACTGCAGGCCTGAGGGGCTGAGCCAGTGGACCAGGCACCTTACACCTGGTTACTCAGAAAAGATATGTTGGCTCTCCTGTCAAGGAGCCCAAGTTTGGGTGCAGGGTACAGTCTCTGGTCAGGACCTGCATCTCTCAGACTCAACTCTGCCACTCTGCTCACAGAAGACCTTTTCCATGTGGTGCCAGAGGCGGGCAGCTCCCGGGCCCTCGCTGTCCCACTGCCTGCGACTCAGCCCAGCTGCTCCCTGCAGCCGGACTGGTGGTGCTGGGCCAACAGGCAACTCCCCAAGGAGCTGGTGTCCAGGGCAGCCGTGCTCCAGGAACAGCTGAGGGAGAACTGAATCTTTTACCTAAATACACATGAATTTTTAGCAGCAAGATAAGTTAGGGGAAATTCTTTTAAATAGTAATCACTCATCATGAATTTTAAATATTTAATACAGGAAGAGTCCCTTCATGTGTAACTTTTCCTGAACACATACATAAAATGCAGTATCTCATCTGTGTGTATCCACGCCCATCTCCGCATTCCTTTTTTCGTTTGACAGTAAATCTGGAGATCATTCCACATTAGTAAGTGGTGACAATCATCAGCCTTTTTCAGCTGCATGATACTCCACAGACATTACGCTCTAGTCTGTTTGCGTGGTATTCCTCCTGTGTGAAGAACTTGTGTTTTTTCTGGACTTGGGCATAGGAGGGGGGGGGTGGCGGTCAGCATCCTTTTGGAGGGTTCTGGAGGAGCAGGGCTGGCTGGCTGACTGCTCTTCCAAGCTTATGTTAGGTGACGACAGGACCTTTACATAATGGGTACAGAAAGCCTTCTCTTCCTTCTCTTGGTCTTAGTTTTGCTATCATCTTTGTGGAGATCCTCAGAATGGAAACTCTTTATCAGTTAGTATGTTTCGATTCTCTGATAACCATTTCTTTGTTTAGCAGTTTGTTTTATCAAGATTTCAGGATGGGTGTAGAGTAGGAGGCAAGAGAGCCCATTCTCATTTCCTGTCTTTTTGTCCTGTGGTGAGCACACCTCTGTCTTAAGGAGTTTCCTTGTTTATGGGCCCTCTAACTAGGGAAGGGCACCCTTCTTGACCATCTTTGGGTTCATGGTGGAGTTCTAGATGTTCTGTAACCCCTTTGATATTTTGCTTTTTTCCATAAGGGTGGTGTCATCTGCATATCTGAGGTTATTGATATTTCTCCAGGCAATCTCGATTCTAGCTTGTGCTTCATCCAGCCCGGCATTTTGCATGTTGTACTCTGCATATAAGTTAAATAAGCAGGGTGACAATATTCAGCCTTGGCATACTCCTTTTCCAATTTTGAACCAGTCCATTGTTCCATGTCCAGTTCTAACTGTTGCTTCTTGATCTACATACAGATTTCTCAGGAGGCAGTTAAGATCGTCTAGTATTCCCATCTCTTTAAGAACTTTCCACAGTTTCTTGTGATCCACACACTCAAAGGCTTTTGGCGTAGTCAATGAAGCAGAAGTAGTTGTTTCTCTGGCATTTTCTTGCTTTTTCTGTGATCCAACAGATATTGGCAATTTGATCTCTGGTCTGTGTTTAAATTAATCAAAATGAAAATTGAGTAAGTAAAAATGAAAATTCAGTTCCTTAGCCACATTCCAAGTATTTAATCACCACATGTTGCTGGTAGCTACCTGGACAGAACAGCAAGGGACATTTCCACCAGAGCAGACACTCCAGTTGGGCAGTGCTGCTTGCAGTGTTTATTTTACACAAAATGACAAAGATGGGCCTTGTTTTCAGCGTCTGATTTCTTTGTCCATCTTTACTTTGAGATAAGCTTCTTCATGCAGCCTTCTTTTTCATGGTTCTAGTCTCTAGAAGAAGTATGTGACCTGCTGCACGCAGCCCCTTTCCAGAATATCTTGCCAAGGGTCCATGTGAAAGGTGAGCCAGTCCTCTGACCGGGGTAGGGACACATGTCTGTGTTGCCAGAGAGTTCTCTTTAGTTAAAGAGCCAGCTTTGAGTTTGCTTCCTGTTCAGTCACATCCTGGAAGTAAAGTTAAATGAATATTGAATAATGGAAGTATTTAGGATGGAAGTGTTGTATCTTGATTGTGTTTCAGAATAGCATGGGAGCAGGGGTATTGGGTATATATGAGAGGAGAATGCCATGAGCTCATGATTGTAGCAACAGATAGTCGTAGAGGATTCATTGTACCGGGCTGTTTTTGATTACATTTGGATTTTTCAGTAAGTTTTAAAAAGTTTGAATATTGAGCAAAGACTCAGTTCTCTGTTTGAGTTAAAATAGCAGATGAGCCAGTTCCATAAAAGAATTTTCAAAGAGAACCTCTATGCATAGTGTTAAACATTTATTTGGTTTTTTTTTTCATCTTTTTTTTGACAAAATTAAACTTGTGCAGTTGTTATTCATACAAAGGAATAGATTATAAAATATTTTTTTCCACCGTAGAGGGAGAGAGACTTGATGCGAAAATGAAAAGACTAGAATCAAAGTACGCTCCACTGCACCTTGTCCCTCTGATCGAAAGACTCGGAACTCCACAGGTAATGCAACATGCTGCTGTGAGCTGGGCTCCCAGTTGGGTCGGTCACTGGCAGGGTTGATGGACTCTGGGTGAGACTTAGTCCTAAGGCATCAAGAGATTGCATGGGCCTGCTCAGCCACTCAGGCCTGAGTTTCCGAGTGAGTTTTATAATAGGACCTTGTCACAGGGTGGTGGGGCACTTTGAATGAGCTAACACGTGAAAGGATGCAGAACATCACCTGGCAGGTGAGACGTTCACAGTACACATTGCTGTTTTTGTTGTCTGTCCCTTCATGAAGAAAGCTTTCTAAGAACAGAAGGCAGGGAGGAACTTAAGCTAGCTACATCACAGTCTCAACCTGTTGCCATTTTGTATGAGATAATTCTTTGTTTCGGGGGGACTGTCCTATGAATTGTAGGACATTTAGCAACATCCCTGGCCTCTACCCACTAGATGCCGCTAGACCCACAAGCTGTGATAACCAGAAGTATCTCCACACGTTGCCATTTCTCCTCAGGAGATAAATCCCTCCCTTAAGAACAACTGTGCTTGACAGTTCTATTTAGTCTGATAAGACATGTAAGTAATAGCTGACATATTTTGTTGATGTTTATTTCTAAAAACCCTCCTCTTGCAAGCTGTGATAGTTTCCAGTGAGTCAAAAACAATATTGGAGTACTTTGACTTCAGCATTCTGGCTGCCTGCCATGCCTGTGACATTTTGTCCTTTCTGCAGCAAATTGCGATAGCAAGAGAGGGGGACCTGCTGACAAAGGAGCGTCTCTGCTGTGGCCTGTCCATGTTTGAAGTCATCCTGACTCGGATCCGGACCTTTCTGGACGACTCCATCTGGCGCGGGCCTCTGCCCAGCAATGGGGTCATGCACGTGGATGACTGTGTTGAGTTTCACAGATTGTGGAGTGCCATGCAGTTTGTCTACTGCATTCCTGTGGGAACACACGAGTTTACAGTCGAGTAAGTGAGTGCTCAGGGAGGGGAGATAGGAGGGAAGCTGGCGTTAGGCTCACACAGAGGACCACTTTCCTCTGGAAATGGATCCCCATATTGCTGAGCTGCAATAAAGTGGCTTAAGTATGGGCTGTTACCTGATGCCTAGGAAATGCTTCAGGGCTGGGCTTCTGGAGTTTTCTGAACTGATGGAAACTTACGCAAGTCAGGTGTGTATTTTGCTAGACAGGAGGACCAACACTTCATGAACTCATTCTTCATGGTGGGGCCTTGATCTAAAAAGAGGTTGAGAAACAATTTGCCAGAGGAACCCGGAAGAGGTGTTTACCAAAGCAGGGACACACCTCTGCTCCTCACTCCCTGCGGGACACACAGGTGGTCTGGCCACTGGCATCTGATCACCCGTTCTACCTCCTGCTTCTTGTCTCCAGGCAGTGCTTCGGCGACGGGCTCCACTGGGCTGGCTGTATGATCATTGTGCTCCTTGGGCAGCAGCGGCGCTTTGCTGTGCTGGATTTCTGCTACCATCTGCTCAAAGTCCAGAAACATGATGGCAAAGATGAGATTATCAAAAACGTGGTATGTGGAAGCTTCACAAAGATAGACACTTTCTATTAAAAGTTTTTTTTTTTCTTCTGGGAATGTTTCTCATCTGAGGACAAAAGGTGCCCCCAAGTGAAACTTTCTTTTTACTCCCCAAATGAATGTAAATAGAATTAGTAAGCAAAGGAATCTGGTTCCATTTTCCTTCTATTTTCAAGGTATCTAGATCTACTTCACATTATAGAGCCTGTAAGATCTGCGTTTTCAGTTTATTGGCATACTCTTCAAGTCTTCTGGCTTCCTTCATTAAAGATTCTTTTTAGGTTTGTCATTTTATGGATTCTTTGTAATTGAATTCCAGAAAATACTTATTATCTTTTCAAATATTTTAGTTTTTCTTCCATTTGGGGACTTCATTAGACATGTCTATACTTCAGTTCAGTTCAGTCGCTCAGTCATGTCTGACTCTTTTCGACCCCATGATCTGCAGCACACCAGGCCTCCCTGTCCATCACCAACTCCCAGAGTTTGCCCAAACTCATGTCCATTGAGTCGGTGATGCCATCCAGCCATCTCATCCTCTGTCATCCCCTTCTCCTCCTGCCTTCAATCTTTCCCAACATCAGGGATTTTTCAAATGTGTCAGCTCTTTGCATCAGGTGGCCAAAATATTGGAGTTTCACCTTTAACATCTCCTTCCAATGAACACCCAAGGACTGATTTCCTTTAGGATGGACTGGTTGGATCTCCNGCCTTGACGTACTCCTTTTCCTATTTGGAACCAGTCCATTGTTCCATGTCTAGTTCTAACTGTTGCTTCCTGACCTGCATATAGGTTTCTCAAGAGGTGGGTCAGGTGGTCTGGTATTCCATCTCTTTCAGAATTTTCCACAGTTTATTGTGATCCACACAGTCAAAGGCTTAGGCATAGACAATAAAGCAGAAATAGATGTTTTTCTGGAACTCTCTTGCTTTTTCGATGATCCAGCAAATGTTGGCAATTTGACCTCTGGTTCCTCTGCGTTTTCTAAAACCAGCCTGAACATCTGGAAGTTCACAGTTCACGTATTGCTGAAGCCTGGCTTGGAGAATTTTGAGCATTACTTTACTAGCCTGTGAGATAAGTGCAGTTGTGTGGGACTTATCATCTCTTGTTTTCTACACCAGAGGTTGGGTACAGCATGGCTCAGCTGGGTCTTCCATTTACAGTTTCACAAAGCCACTATCAATGTGTCTATAGGGCTGTGTTCTTTTCTGGAGCCTCTAGTTATGGATCTACTTCCAGACTCATTCAGGTGGTTGGCTCCATTCAGCTCCTTTCCATTGGAGAGCTAAGTACTCCATTTCCTTGCTGGTTATTTAGCTCACATCCCTTCTCATGCTTTCCACATGACCCCTTCCAGCCAACATGATCAAGTCCCTCTCACAATGTTTTTAACTTTTGAAAGTCACTAGTTTATATTTAAATGTTGATTTCCTTCTTCAAATCTTGGTAGTAATTGAAATTTTATCTTCACAGAATTTTTTTCCATTTTTGTTTCTTTATACATCTAGTCTAAATATATAAAGAAATAAGTCATCCTATCAGTCTTTACTTTTCAGTTCCAAGACCTCAAGTTGTATCTGAAACTCTGAAATGTTTATTGGATTTTATTTGGCAGCTCTTGAACTTAATTTGGGATGCCTTTCTCCCAGGATTTCCATTTACTGCTTATCTCCCAGAATTATTGCCAATTCAGAACCACTTTTAACTTCATAAGAGGTCCTGGCTTGGTGGAGAGCCTGCGAGTCTAGTCCACCTTGCTTAAAGCCCAGGCTCACTCTTCATCCTACCCCTGCTGGTAGCATTGTCTCTGAGGAGCCTGGCTTCTCTCTCACTTCTTGCATAGGCAAAACCAGCCGTGCTTTAAACTGGAATAGACTTTAAAGTTTGTTCTGCTTTTGTTTTTGTGTGGTTTTTCTAATCTAGTTATATTATAGCAGGAAGTGAAGTGAAGTGAAAGTCGCCCAGTCATGTCCAACTGTTTGTGACCCCTAGTCCATGGAATTGTCCAGGCCAGAATACTGGAGTGGGTAGCCTTTCCCTTCTCCAGGGGATCTTCCCAACCCAGCGATTGAACCTAGGTCTCCCACATTGCAGGCCGATTCTTTACCAACTGAGGTATGAGAGAAGCCCATTATAGCAGAAGGGTCTGTCAAAGCATCACGTCCACAATAACTGGAAATTACTTGTGTTATATTAGTATACTGGTCTTCATCTTTACATTTCTAGCTTTTAGGACACCATAGGTTCTCAATACCTGTCTGTTGAATAAATAGGTCTGTAAGTTTTACAAATGAATCTATAGTAGCATGAAACCAACAGAGAAATGTTGCAAAATATATTCCAGTAGTTAGAGAGATGGTCTGTATCAGTAGTTGGCTGCACTTTTTCTAATATGAAAATCCTGACATATTTTGAAGCATGAAGAATAAATAGCAGCTATCCTAATTTTAATTATTGTAGCCTTTGAAGAAGATGGTGGAAAGAATTCGCAAGTTCCAGATTCTAAATGATGAGATAATCACTATCTTGGACAAGTACTTGAAGTCAGGCGATGGAGAGAGCACTCCTGTGGAACACGTCCGCTGCTTTCAACCACCTATCCACCAGTCCCTGGCCAGCAGCTGAGGGAGTGTGTATCACCTGTTTTTGAAGAGTTCCAGTACTGACTGCATTTAAGATCTAGAAGGGCATGTTTTTCTTTCCATAAACTATTTAGTGGGATTTTTAGGAACTATTTTTCAGTATTTCTGTGCCTGTTAAAATAAGGGGATGCTTTTCAATCTAAAAGCTTGATTTTATAAAATTGACTTATTTTTCTACACTAAAATTGTATATACTTTTGGTAATTGGAAAATCTGAGAATGTTGACTGCAGATTGTTGCCATCATGTTTTTACAGAATCATTTTCCATTTTTCTATGGAATGTTCCAACAGCTAGCTATGTCATGAAGTGCTGCTGAGTTCATCCATTTGTCCTGTTAACAAAGGATCTGTAACATTTAAGGAAAGATTTGTGAATTTAAGCAAGAAACTTAATACCAGCTAATTGTAATAAAACCCGTTACCAATTAGAATTAATGATTAGCTTTTGTTGAGGGATTTTTCTGATTTTTTTATGAAAACCTTTTCTAAGTCATTCCCCTTTCCCTTTTTGTGCGTTTCAGAAAATAGTGAACTTGATTTCTCTGTTCCTACTAAATCCAGCTGTAACAAAATCTAGTTTGTGACAGGATTTAAAGGTTGCAGAAATAAAACTAATGGAACCTGCTTGCGTTCGTTCATTACGGTGGTCCTGTGCGCCCTGCCCTGGCTTTGGTAAGGTGCTTCCCCTACTTGCTTGCCTGCACAAACCAGGCTGAGTCCAGGTCACCTGCAGCCATGAAGGGACATATCATGGTGGTTACTTCTGTATGGTTTTAAAAACATTAATACCAGGTGCACTATCTATGGCACCAAAAATAAAGTCTGTCAACTTGGTTTTACTGTTTAACCTTGACTTAACATAAACAGAACTGTTTTAGAAAAAGTAACCTTTGTGAAATAATAACCCTGGGGACACTATTCTCTTGCAGATTAAGAGGTAGTATTTGTGCTCACCCTATAGTGGAAGTATAGAATATGATGAAAAATTAAGTTAATGAGTAAATGTAAATAATTCATGAGTTTTATAAGACTTAATTTTAAACTAAATAAAAATTTTAAGTGCTATAAGATGTTAAATAATTACAAATTTATTACTATAAAGCTATGCATTCTCAACAAGGGCAATATCACACCCAAAGGGGTGAAAATTGGTTTTCATCTATTGTATACAAAGCATGGATATAGTTACGGTTTAGTACATAAGCAAATATAGAATATATCTGTGGTATTAAAATTACATGGAGAGAGGCAGTTAGGAAAAAAAATGTCTACAGAGGCTCCTTAGAAGATAAATAATAAAACACTAGGAAAATGGAACGTGTTTCAGAGACCTGGAAAGTGCCAACTCTGCCCTGATAAGGCCAGTGAACAGTGAAGCTCCCATGGGTGGCTGCTTACACAGTAGACCGAGCTTTGTGACTGGGCAGGAGCAACAGGATGGAAACAGGCCTGAGTTCTTCCTACCTAGGTGAAAATGAGCGGTGTTTTTGAGGCCAGTGGATGACAGGTTTGAAGCTGGACAGAGGTTCATTACACTTGTTTTTGCACAGGTTTGATGTTTTCTGTAAACATTCTTTCCATGGACATTTTAACAAAACCAAAATAGTGGTCCAAACTCTTAAGCAAAAGTGCTACAAAGAAATTATATTTTACAAACACCCTGTTTGTTCTAAACATTCAGACTTAGAAAAGATCTTTCAGTTTTTTTATTTCAACATGAGCTAAATTTAAGAATCTACCCTAGTCTTCTGACTTTATTTCCCAGTGTTGTTAAAAGAGCTAAATCACAGTATAACTCATTATGAAAATATATGGAAAAGTACAAGAGCTGATGTAAAACGGCAATCAAAGGTCCAGCCATCAAGGGATTAGAGTAACTGAAGAAAACCAGCCAGGCTGTAGTCTGACAAAGGATGTGCTGATTTAACAAGGCGTAACCTAGGAAGGCCATCAAATGTTCATGATGGCAACTCCCAGCCTGAGTACTTCCATGCAGTGATTTCCTACCTTTTTTTGTTTATAAGTTTCCTTCATTTAATAATTTAGGGGTCTCTTAAAGTTCAAAACTTTTATAATTCACTAAATGGGAGTCATTTTTATAGGTAAGATAAATTACAGGATAATGTATTGAGTTAATTTTTTTAATCAAAAAGACTTAAAATGATCAGGAATTGATAGAGTGGGCATGAAAAATGTACATTTCAGACTTTCATCACCCGTGGGGAAAAAAAGCATTTTTATAGACCTAAAATTGTCATTAGTGCATTTAGATTTTGGTGAAGGAAAATTTAAAATAACTCTACAATAATACAATGTTAATAGAAATTGGCCATGTATTGAGTCATCATTTAAATATAAGTAATTTCTTGGTCCAAATTAGTGAAACTTTAAAAAAAAAAAAAGGATTGTCTCTAGAGAACATCATTTGAGAACAAGGCTTTTTCAGACACATTCTGATACTCAGATTCACTTTATAACAGTTATAGCTTAATTACATCTCTCCTACTAAAAAGCTGTCAGATTTCCATTTCTTCGGGAGATATTTTCAGCAGTGTGTTGTTCGATTCCACAGGTTAAGCTCTCTTCATTATTATTAAGAACTTCATACATACTAGAAAGACTGCCATTCACTGCTTTTTCGTCCTTCCGAAAAGACACAGGCAGACTTGACAGACTAAAGCTGACGTCTTTAAAGGCATGCAACAAGAATATTCCCACAATGATTGTAAAGAAGCCACTCAGAGTACCAATGACATCATCAACAGGCATATCTTGCCACTCCTTAAAAAGGATAGCTGAACAAGTTAAAACTGATGTTGTAAAGAACACGTAATATATTGGAGTCACGATAGAAGTGTTGAATATGTCCAGGGCCCTGTTCAGGTAATTAATCTGTGTGCTCACACAGACTATAAGGCTCAGCAGCAGAATCCAGGTCAGGGGATGTCGTAGCACAGGTTTTCCAGCAAACAGCTCTTTGATAGCAATGCCCAGGCCTTTAGCACAGGAGACTGAAACTGCCCCAATTACAGAGCAGATTGTGATATACACAAGAATGTTTGTCTGTCCATGGCGAGGTCCCACCACAAAGATTAATATCAAGGACACAATGACCACAAGTGTTGCAAAGACCACAAAACCTGGAGAAGGCAAAGAAAAATTATATTTAGTTAAATGTTTAAGTACTTGATAAGAAGGAGAAAAGGTATGGTCCTAAAATAAAAATTAGCTTTCTTTTGCTGCCCCAGCAAAAACACACTCATAATAATTTAGTTAGATGCACACACTGGAAGATTACGCTTCATGTTCACAAATTATACTACTAACATTTTTATAGTAATATCTTGGGCCTCATAATTATACAGATATCCCTTGATTAACATGGATTGACTTGCATGGATCCAATTATTTGTGGACTTTTTTTTTCCAATAAATACAGTACAATACAATCTGAGGGCTGAACCTGTGGATGTGGAACCTCAGATATACAGGATGGACTATAAGTGGGTTTTCTCAGATATCCCTAACCTCTGTGTTGTTAAAGGGTCAAATGTATATCAAGGGAAATAGTATCAGGCTGACTCACAGCCATCCATCCAAGAACACTACTTCCACCCACTGGGGTGCTCTAATTCCAAGAACAGGTGCAATACAATCAGAACAATCAGAAACCAGTGGAGAGAAATTATGAGATGACCTGGAATGCTCAATGATTTGTAGATGCTAAAGAACACTGTCTAACAGGAGCAAATTTTTAAAATATTTAAGGATCAACCACTGGGGTAAAAAATCAGTAAGAGAACTTGACAATAACTGTCGGAATCCACGTTACATAGGAGACTTGAACCCAACATGATAATAGCTAATGACTGTGTAGCACTATAGGTCAGACACTTTTCTTAGCAATTTGCATCAATTAAGTCATTAAATTCTCACAATTACCCTGTAACACAGACACTGTCATTTCCAATTTTAAGATGAGGAAACAGCAGTAAAAAGGATAGCTGAACAAGTTAAAACTGATGTTGTAAAGAACACGTAATATATTGGAGTCACGATAGAAGTGTTGAATATGTCCAGGGCCCTGTTCAGGTAATTAATCTGTGTGCTCACACAGACTATAAGGCTCAGCAGCAGAATCCAGGTCAGGGGATGTCGTAGCACAGGTTTTCCAGCAAACAGCTCTTTGATAGCAATGCCCAGGCCTTTAGCACAGGAGACTGAAACTGCCCCAATTACAGAGCAGATTGTGATATACACAAGAATGTTTGTCTGTCCATGGCGAGGTCCCACCACAAAGATTAATATCAAGGACACAATGACCACAAGTGTTGCAAAGACCACAAAACCTGGAGAAGGCAAAGAAAAATTATATTTAGTTAAATGTTTAAGTACTTGATAAGAAGGAGAAAAGGTATGGTCCTAAAATAAAAATTAGCTTTCTTTTGCTGCCCCAGCAAAAACACACTCATAATAATTTAGTTAGATGCACACACTGGAAGATTACGCTTCATGTTCACAAATTATACTACTAACATTTTTATAGTAATATCTTGGGCCTCATAATTATACAGATATCCCTTGATTAACATGGATTGAGTTGCATGGATCCAATTATTTGTGGACTTTTTTTTTCCAATAAATACAGTACAATACAATCTGAGGGCTGAACCTGTGGATGTGGAACCTCAGATATACAGGATGGACTATAAGTGGGTTTTCTCAGATATCCCTAACCTCTGTGTTGTTAAAGGGTCAAATGTATATCAAGGGAAATAGTATCAGGCTGACTCACAGCCATCCATCCAAGAACACTACTTCCACCCACTGGGGTGCTCTAATTCCAAGAATAGGTGCAATACAATCAGAACAATCAGAAACCAGTGGAGAGAAATTATGAGATGACCTGGAATGCTCAATGATTTGTAGATGCTAAAGAACACTGTCTAACAGGAGCAAATTTTTAAAATATTTAAGGATCAACCACTGGGGTAAAAAATCAGTAAGAGAACTTGACAATAACTGTCGGAATCCACGTTACATAGGAGACTTAAACCCAACATGATAATAGCTAATGACTGTGTAGCACTATAGGTCAGACACTTTTCTTAGCAATTTGCATCAATTAAGTCATTAAATTCTCACAATTACCCTGTAACACAGACACTGTCATTTCCAATTTTAAGATGAGGAAACAGCAGTTGTCTAATCTTTTAACTCTTCTAATTCTAGTAGTATGATTTTTAGAGAAGGAAACACAAAAATAAGAATTTGTAAGGAGATGATAGAAACATGAAAGCCAAAAATCAGAAGATAATAACTGATAACAGCAGATTCAAGAAAGCTGAATCCCACATAAGCAGTGATCAAAGATTAGAAAGTGACTCAGTGTGCTACGAAGAATGCTCTGAAGATACAAACTACCTCTAGAAGTGGATTGAAGAGGAGACTAAAAACAGGAGGCCTGGCTAAAGTCTTTTCAAAGAGCACTGAGACCACTTCAGATCCTTGCCCAGTTCTGAATGCCTGAGTGACTGGTCCCCTTGCCAGAGTGTATGGGAGGACCCCAGACCAGCTGAGTGTGTGGGGGCCTCACTAAAACAGGGGCTGGAGTAAGGCATATG